TTATCGTCGTTATTCTTACTTTCAAACTTAAGGGGAATACAGCATTTTGCCAATGGACGAGGGTGAAAGGAATTAAAAAGTGTTCTTTAGTGAATATAGAACTTTTGGTGGATAAAATGTTTCGTAACACTGGATTAAACGAACCGTGTGTGTTTTAATTAAAGACAACTGATGCATGTGTTGCATCATCTGTTTGTAATTGTTATAAAACTTAATGTGTTGATGAATTGAAATGCTTTAAAAATGTGAACGTAAATAATTGATTATCGTGAATGACATATAAACTTTTTTTTGTAATTAAAGCTATCAATTTACGATAGCCAGTTAAATTTCAATTTAATTAATGCTTTCCATGATCCATGAATTATAATTTAATTAATAATATGTTATTTTTTGCTTAACTTAGTACGAGTTTGAATAAAACCGGCGCAACGGGGTGAAAAATTAAAATTATTTCCTTTAAGCAGTTTTGAGGATTTACTGTTTATTTTTCTTTTGTGTTACGTAATGCTTTGTTTAAGTTTCTGATTATATTAATTTTTCCCCTTTGTTTTTTTATATTATTTTTAATATAAAAATGCTAAATAATTGTAATTAACTGAAGCGGAAAAATATACTTGGTGATATATAATTTTATTTGCTTCAAAAAATATTATAATGTAAATAAAAATTTATATATTTTGAGCGCTCAAAAATAAGCGCCTATTCTCGAGACTTGCTAGAAAATTCACAACGCTCGTAATTCTTGTCTGGTGAGTCTTAAAAATGACACCTTAGTTTGTGCGTTCGAAACATGCCGTCTTTTATTACCATCTTCTTTTTTTTATGCAAATGAAGTTTTATATTGAGTGTAAAAATCGAATTTGCATTTCGCATGTATATTGTGTTCGCATATATGTGATACCTATAATACAAATGAAGTATGAGAGAAATCAAATGCTAGCAGTTGAAAAGGTATCTATCGTAAAAAAAAATGTTTTTCAATTTTGAATAGCTTTTTTATTGATATATAGTAAAAAGTTTAATTCTACAGATTTCTTGCTTTCAAATGTTGAAAAAATTATGTTTCCATCTCAATTAAGAATGCGATATATAATGCTTGTATCACTTTTACTTTAAAGAAATAAAAAATGTATGTTAGATTTTGATTTGCAAATTAAAAGCAATAATAATCAAAAAAAATGAAAAACATTTACAATATTGAAAAATATATCATATTAATTTCAGAATTTTTTAGAAGATAATTAAATAACCCTGGAAGAAATAATTAGAGGAACGTTTTTTTTTCCTGTTGAATTTAAAAAAACAAATCGTTTTGAATTTTTTGTGTATAGATTAGATAAGTTTTGCAAAGCGTTACGATTTTTTGTTAAAGCTATTTGAGCTTCACGTCGAACGCGTGAAATTTCCCCCACAAAACGCAATGCAGCAAGTGTTCGAAAACAAGGGTAGCGTTACGGTTAACGTTATACAAACCCAATGCAAAATCCCTCTATTAAATGGTAGAGTAACGTAAAAATTAAAAAAAAAACATTCCTTTTTTAATCAATTATAAAATTGTGCCACGGAACCTTTTAATAAATGATACGTTACAATTCTTAAGTTGAATAGGTTATCAGCAGACTCAGAGGAACATTTAAATGGACATTTAAACGCGTCAAACATCAGTAAATTTTCTATCATTATAAATATTTTTTCTATGGTTAGTGTTTTGTTTCATTTATATCCATAAGAATGCTCTATTTTATTCACCTCTCAATTTTTTCTTACTAATCTTGCACTCTTTGAAACTTCCTTCAAAGTTAAATTTATTCTCATAGACAATTTCCATTTCTAAATCTCTCTCTGTCTGGTAGATGAAAGTTTTCATTTCCTTTTATTTCAAACAATATATAAGCTACTCTTTTTCTTTCATTTGCATGGAACTAAATCTCTCTTTACGATCCCGAAAAAGTAATATAGAAGTGTGCATTGTTTATACTTGTTCGTAAAGTAGATTCTGTCTTCTTCTGGAGTATGGAAATTTGCATGCCGACTGCGACTTTGCCTCAAATAGATTATTTGGGTATTGGAATTTAATTTCGTTTTATAGGCGTTTTTAGCTGTTAATAACTTCAACGAGGGGCTTGCTTGCTTTGAAACTTATAAGAAACACGCCAAGTTCCAAAAGAAAATAAAGCGATTGTCGCATTTGTCTTTTCCACAAACCTGAAAGATTTCAAAATCGTAATGAAAATGCTTAATTGTTATGCTTTCACACGTTTAGTTTTTTTTATATATATAATTCCTAGTAGCCTTAATGCAAAGCATCGGAATGTCTTCCGAAAAGCGTTTCTAATACGTACAAATGCAACGATGAAAAACGATTATAGTATGTGTTCTACAGCCAGCGGTTCTCAATTTTTTGGGGTTAAGGAACCCTAAATGATTCAACTATTTTCCGCGTCCCCTACTTTTTAAATAATAAGGAATACAAAGACAATGTAAATTAAAGTAGATAGAAATAATTGCGAGTGTATTAACCAATAAAATACAGCTTTATTTTGAAAAACTTTAAAAAGAGGAGAATGAAATTTTTTTTTCATGATTTTTTTATTAATAATCTTAAATTAGATTTTATTGAATTTGCACATCTGAGCTGTACCTAATATAGTTTTAAATTTGCTTTTTGGAGTATATACATAAGCAAAAATGAAGTAAATGAGCAACATTATGGTTTTTGTTGAATTGGAAATTTAGAGAACTGTTATAAGTGTTGAAAATGGTTTGCTAGGGACAATGATTTATAAAACATTTTAAGTCTATTAGTTTTTCATTTAGTTGTATTTATTTTTTTAATTATAATGTGAGATTTTATTATTCTGAATAAACATTAAATTCTCTTTTAAAGCGCTTGCACCATTAACGAATTTCTATAAAACTCTAATTGAGAATAATAGTGAGTTGCATCACTGTACTAGAGAATGCGTTTTGTTGAAATTAATCACCGCTTTTACTCCGTTTTATAGCCCTCTCTTAGGAAATTGTCCGGAAAACTTCGGGCACTTTAAAATTCTCATCTAATAAGAGTGCAACCGGAGTTTATCTAATTTCCATTTCAATTTATGCGCGAATAATATGATGGTTTGAAACTTTTAATGGAACATTTTTTTTTATCTTCGTTAATTTGCAGCTCTAGGTTTCAATCGATTTAAAACGTTTCGCTTTTCCCATTAACGTACATTGTTAAATGTATCGAAATAATTTGTAGAAAATTTTGGTTTTTTACTTTTTGCTTCTTAATTTGAAATAACCGTACAGCTTATTTGAGTATCAGTGTGTTTATTAATCGGCGTTTTTTATTTTAAGTGCATATGTATATTTAGAGAAGTTTTCTTTTCAAATAATCAATTTTTATTTTCAAGCGAGCTAAGCATCAATCAATTATTTCATTAGATGTCTTCTTTTCTTATCAATTGTTATTTAATATTTATGACATCTGTATATTCTCTTAAGTGGCAATAAAGAAAGTTTTCATTTGTTTTTCACTTTGGCAACGACGAATTGAAATATCAAGAGTGTAAGGTGTCATAAGAATGAAAGCGTAAACGTATATGTTTATAAATTTTTTAGTGAAAATTGGTTTTTGCTTAGACAATAAAAAGTTGAAACGAACTGAGCTATAAGTTGTAAATAATTGAAGGGTTAAAAGCTAATAGTTCATATCAACAAAGTGTTCTTTTATGATGTTTTAATTATACTTATGCAGGTTCAATAATGATAATTTTATTCATTGAAAAATGGGTAATAGTCATGCTGTTACGTTTTTTCAAAGTATAATTAATGTTTAGTTTCTTCTAGTTTTTCTATCACTTGTCCTTTATTTCAATTTAACTTTCTGATAGTTTGTTCATTTGACAGTTTTAAACTAATAGCTCTAATTTCTGAAATTTATAATTGTGTTTTTAACAAAGTTTTGAATTTTTGAAAGTATTTGTTTTTTTAACATAATTATTGCTTTTTTTCTGTTTCAATTCATGTATTTATATTTAAATATTTTTATGTCTGACTTTTTGTTGACTGAAAATTTTAATTTTTTAGATTGAGATTTTTAGTTTTTAAGATTTTAATATTTGATTCAAATTCTTAAGACTTTTCTCTAGAACGCATTTCAAATAGATTTAAGTTAGTAACGAGTGGAACAAGGATGGTTTACAATGTAAACTGCATAATGGCGGAGCATATTAGTATTTAATTAAATGTGAAGAAACTATTTTCTTTTTCTTAACCATAAAACATGTTTTCAAAGATTTTTCTCGACAATCTTAAGTAAGAAAGTTTTGTTGGTCAAAATTATATAGTGAATTATCTGATATTTGAAAAACTGCATGCAATATGGGCCTTTGTCTTGCGTAATGTTTGCACAAACGCGTTGTAAAAACGAGTCTAAAAATAAATCGAGAAATTTAAGCCTGTTTAAATTTTCTTTTAAAAGGTAGTTAAATATCACCAATTATACATAGCTGGTCATTCTTCCTAAAATCTAGTACACTGTAATTTTTTTAGTTAACTTATAAACGAATGATTTCTAAAAACTGTTTCTTGCCCATATTTGTATCTGTAAAAATCAGTTCAGATATTCATGTTGATTATAATTGAACTTATCCTTTTCGTTTTTATTATAAGGTATGATCATAAGGATGTTCTTATAATTATTATAAGGATGTTCTTGTATTTATTATAAGGATGTTCTTTTACAATTTAGAGCGAAGGGCATAAAATATAGCAATTTCCTTCATTATCTGAAGGACTACGAATGAATGATTAAAAACAATATGATGCACGAATGATTAAAAACAATACTCTAAATAAAAAGTTTAAAAAAGAGCGTGAAGTTATGTAATTTAGTTATTTAAAAGCCTTGTTTTAAGTTTTTTTTCTAACTGTTTAATCGATGCGTTTAAATCATTTTGTTTATATGAAAAATATTTTAAAATATCTTTCCATCTCTTTTTATTTAGGTCTCTCATCTCGGCCAAATCTCAATTTGAATTTGAATTTAAATTCGGATTCACCTAGAAAAGCCAGACAAAATCTGTCCCTCAATTTCGGTTGTGCTGCACTGAGCGCTGTGGGTGAGAAGGTAGATGCAGAACTGACTTTAGAAAAACAAGGGTGAGTTCTTTTTTTTCACTCTTCAAAATTAAATATTCAACATAGAACTTTTTTACTGTAATCAGAATTACGATGTATACTTAATTTTGCATGTAATGTCTGATTGGTTTTGTGTAAATGGATTCAAAACTAATATGATTTTTAATGAAATTTTAGATATGCAAATAAGTTCATTATTTTCAAAGTTCATAGCAAATTCTTGTAAAATGCGTGAAATAAATAAATAAAAAGTGGCTGTCTTAATAAGTGTTGGTCTAATAATCGAATTTTCACATACTAGCCCTTAATCTTAATTGTTTGATGTCTTGACCATAAGTATGCTAATTATTATAGACTATATGTTAAAGTATAACACCCGACACAAAAACGCACTTTTTCGAATAAGTATACATTTTTTTTACGTATTGTATATTTCTGAGCCTCAAGATATAAAAAATATAGATATTATAGATATAAAAATATATAGGTATTATAGATATAGATAACAAAAGCCTCAAGATATAAAAATAAACGTCTCTGGAAAATAGGCTGCGAAATGCTTAGATAGCGGTAGAAAGCTTGGATCCTCTCTATGTTTATTTCACTTATTGCGTATTTCACCTTATCCCGAGAACGGTTTAAGCAAATCAAAACAATTTTACATACTTAAATAAAACTTGCTTATCTGAAGATAATTCTATATTTATAAAAGTGTACAAGTAAGCATAAAAACATACAAGTATGTATATAAAGTACGTTTTTATATCATTTTAATCTACATAAATTTGAATTGACAAAATTTGAACAAAATTAGCCAAATGCATAATGTTTTAACTTGTTAGTCTAATAATTTTTGAGAAATTAAAAATTTTAAAATATTTTTTCTATACTTTTTATTTCCTATGAGCTGCAAAATCAGTCTTCAAAATGAGCAGACCTTGTGTGTTCTCCAGAAGTGGTATCCACTCTTTCAGGACCACCACAATGGGTGAGATACCATTGGCCATGTTAATTTGGACAGCTAGGTTCTGCCACACTAGATGGCAGCACCGAGACCCTATTTGGATGCTAAAGTGCACTAGGAATTTAATTTTGCCGGAAATACCAAGAGCCTATAAGGCATTCCAGGGATCTTTTACATGCCGCATAATCATAAGACATGGCCGCTGAGGATTTTCTGCATCCCGAAAATCCGGTGTCTGGGCCGGGGATCGAACCCGCAGACTTGGGCTCAGAAGGACAACGACAAACCAACTGCGCCAGCCAGCCACCGAATACTATTTAGTGCGAAATACTATTTTCTATACTATTTAGTGCGAAAAAAAGGGAAATTAACATTAAGCAGCCTGAACTTCCGATAGCTCTCTTGATTAAACGAGGGGAACCATATTTTACAGGTTGTGGCTACATTTTGAGGATCTATAATCAAAATTCGCCGAAAACAATTAAATTTATTCACAGAATTAATTGTCTTAATTTCTTAATTAAACGAGATAAATTCTCTCGGAAACGCTTTTAAAAATGCTGCTCTATCATAAAAGTGCCCGTAAAAAAGATAATATACAAAAGCAAAGGAGAAAAAATAAAAATCTATCTTAATTTTTGAAAGATATTTTAAAGCTAAACATCTTAGTTTTCCAATTACCGTATTTTCAAGAAAAAGTTTAGTTAAAATCCTCTTAATTGGTGTGTCATAACAAAAACGTTCATACCAACAAAAGGTTTTTTGTAAAAGAAAAAGCTAGATAGAAACCAAAACAAGATTTTTCCTTTAATTTTTAAATGAAAGATTTAACTCTAAAATCTCAATTAACTTTTTCACATTGCCGTATTTTAAGAAAAAAAGTTAACATAAAGGTATAAAGTTTATAAGATACTCTCTTTCAAAAATGCTGTGATAATAGAAGCGCTCATGAAAAGAAAAATTAATAGAAAGAGATAAAGAAAAGCAGAACAAAAAAGTGTTCTTAGTTCTGAAATATAACTTTAACGTTAAATGTCTCAATTTTCTATGTAACCGGTTATCTGTCTTATCGTACAAGACAAAACGGACAATAAAAGAATAAAGTCTATTAGAAACGTTTCGTTAAAATGCTGCTTTATAGTTAATACGGAAAAACAAGCAAAAATAAAAGAAATTAAAAAATTTTCTCAATTTTTAAAATAGAAAACTTTGAAAAACGACGAAATTGACTTACCTGAATATAATTTTTTAAAAAAATCATCAATACAAAACTCAGGGCTCAGTATAAAGTAATGTATTTTCAATTCTTCAAATTTCGCTTTTTCATTTGTCTTTTATAACACAAATTAAAAAATATTATTATAAATATGTCTAAACACAAATTATAAATATATCTAAAAATAATTTTTAATTATGTTTAATAAAAAATTAGATTTTAGATTTATTCTTTATAAAATTTATTCTAATTTCTCCCAAAAAAAACTTTGCCTAAAATAGTTTTCCAAATAATATAAGAGCCGAATACAGAATAGTAGCCAAATATTCGTTACATCCTTATTAAAAAATTAGCATGTTTTAGGTTAGACCGTCTTGCCATTAAGATTCAGTCCAAGTACGTGATAATATAATCATTAGATTAAAAGTTAAGTGTTGAATGTTTCTACCTACTAAAAACATATAGAATGTTCATAATTCTTTCTGTTACCAAATTAAAAGGTGTTTGTTTTTATTTCTTTTGCAATCTGCAGATCGTTGGTTTGGAATGTTTCTAGCTGCAAAGAGACATTATAGCCTGTTCGCAGTACATTCGATGGCCGAAATAAAAACACTCTTAATCTTTCCATTAAATTACTCCTCTTCTCATTCAAAAAAGCTAATTTCTTGTCATATCCTGCTGACATTGACACTTCTGGGATATAACCTATTTGTTTCATCCAAGGCTCTCTTTATTAAGGTAATATTACCATGGAGATTGCTGCAGTAGTAAAAACACATCAGCAGAAAACCCCTTCTGCTTCAGAATAAAGGGGTCCCCCACGTGCTTACATCTTCTAAGCAAACAGCATCTTCTGTCCTCTTTATTTCTCCTGTAACTCTTATCTGGTGCACCCAGCAGAACAATAAGAGGATTAGCCTTCTAATCCCATGGAGGGCAAAGACGTTCCCTTTTATCTCAGCAGGTGGTATATACATTTGTCCTCTCCACCACCCCCATCTTCAGAAGGCTTATTGAAGGGAGAGGACAAGATTGCTTTCAATTTCTGGAGAGTTTGGGATCCTTCAAGGTCCTTTGTAATTCTCCTGTATCCCGGATGCTCTTCTGCTGTTCTAGCTTACAGGAGAGGTCGAAATTAATATTGCTCAGTTTTGCGCAATATCCTTTGTTCCTGCTTTGAAGGTAATTAGTTGCTACAATATGATCTGCCCTCTGTGTTCTAATGGAGGTCCCTCAGGTATTGTTATGCCGCGGTTTACAGCTTTCCTAGCTAGAATGCAAATACCTTATATTGATACTTAAAGAATGCAGAAGTTGATTTCATGTTGGGGTAAATTACTAGCATTATTTTTTATTGTAGCTTTGCTTGCTGTAAGTGTCAATCTATTTTTTATTGCTGTTAATAAAAATTTAAAAAAATTGTTCATATATATTTGGATTGTCACCACTGACCATTTATTTTTTTTATCAATATGTGATATTTAGGTGAACTAAACACTTTACATGCAAGATTGAGAATACTACTTCGTAATTGAATATCATATGTATTTAACGCTAATAAATCTTTTTCGTAAATATTCTCTGGTAATAATTTTATTTTCAACTGTTAATTTGTCTTACTATTTTGGGTTTTTCTTTTTCGGTAGTCATTTTAATGAGCATTATTGAAATTGTACTATGCTTAGTTTTTTAAGCTGAGTTGTTATATTGTGTTTAAATATGTATTATTTTGCTTTTCTTAATTTTATCTAGCATTTTGAAAGATATCTTTTACATTCATAAATCGCTCAATTAATAACGTTGCAAATACACCGAAGAGCCATTACATTATGACCACCCTACTAATAACATGTACGACCACCTTTAGCCCTCAAAACTGCTAGCACCCGCCGTGGCATTGATTCCACAAGGTGCTGATAGGTAGTCTCAGGTATCTGGTACCAAGCGCTCACCAACTGGTCCTGCAATTCCCTCACATTGCGAGGGGGTAGCGTGGCAGCACGAATTTGGTTTTCCAACTAGGACCACAAATGTTCTATTGGATTAAGGTCAGGTGAATTTGGGGGTCAAGACATGACTTGAAAGTCACTGAAATGTTCCTCGAACCAATCCATGATGATTCGACCCTTATGACATGGTGCATTATCCTGTTGGTAAACACCATACCCCGCAGGAAAAAATTTTGTAATGAATGGGTGAACCATGGTCTGCAACTGTGTTCAAGTAGCTTACAGACGTCAGGGATTGTTCTATGAGGATTATGGGTCCTAATGTGCCCCATGAAAACATTGTTCCTGGGCGAGAAACCATGAAAACCTGTGCGAGCCCATTGTTATAGATGGAGGGTGGTCATAAACCAGTGGCTCTTCGGTGTATAAGGATTACATAACTAAATAAATAAATTTTCGTTGATATTTCTGATTGTAATATTTATTATTGTAATGTTGGAGACAATTATAAAAAATTGCATTGCGGGAATTAAAATTGATTGATTGATTTAAGGTGGTACCATGGATCCATCAGTAGGCAGGACGCCGAGAACTTACTGCGGGTGCTCAAGGAAGGCAGCTACCTTGTGAGGAACAGCGAGAGTTCTAAACAAGACTATTCCCTGTCTCTCAAGTAAGTCCTCTCCATAATATGTGCGAAAGCAGAAGAATTTTCCTTTACCTGATTCTTTTTATTTTTCACTAAACTTTGATGTCATAGTATCATTTCATAATTTTTTTTTATTATTATTGTTGAAGTAAGAGCCACGATGGCTCAGGGGATAGAGCGTTCGCCTTCCAATGAGGCGAACCGGGTTCGAATCCCAGTCGATACGAATTCCACATCCGGCTTGTAACGACCAGAGTACTAACTTGAAATATCCTCAGTGGTATACGGATCATGGGTTAGAGTCCCCTTGCCATCAGGCTAACCGTGGGATGTTCTCGTGGTCTTCCTCTCCATGTAACGCAAATGCGGGTTAGCTCCATCAAAAAGTCCTCCACGAAGGCAAATTTCTCCCAATACTTGATCCAGGAGTTCCCTTGTCTTCTGGATTGGGTTCAAAATTACAAGGCTACGGAGTTGAACATTAGTAGTCGTAAGCCCATAAAATTGGGTCGGCTGTTCAACGACGGTTATAATTATAATATTGTTGAAGTAAAGGCTTTGTTTTATTTGATTGATGGAAATGGCACGTGTAATGTTTTGAATTTTTGCGGGCTCTTCCTCAAACAGATCAATAATTTTGTAATGGTAGTTTAACACTGTTTATTTGTATGGTTTTAGATTTTATTCAAATTTTAATCGGTCGTTGTAAAAAGTATCGTTGTTTAAACTGAAAAAACCGATACGGATGATTCTGAAAAATTTCTTTAACGTAAATTTCGTCCAAATGAATTTTTTTTTTCTAAAATTCCTTTTAAAATTGTCCATTCCATAATTGTATTTTTGTAATTTTGTTGGAATTCTATGCATCTCCAATTTTGATGGGGTGAGGACTTTGTATTTTACATGTTATAAAACATATCGACGACGGAGCAAAATATCGTATCAATCATTTTATCATTAAAAATTAATTTTCAACTGAACGATGTATACTTTTTTTCCCCACCAAATCGTTTTCTAAATGCTATTTCTGAGTAATTTCTCTTTTAGTTGAAAAAGACTTGATCTTACGATTATCATTCTAGCCAATCATTTCATTCTCCATCACGTATCACATCTCTGCATTCACAATCCCTAAATGGGATTTTTGTTCCCGGGAATCCGCGCCATCTGTTGTAAAGAATGAAAAATTGAGATGCTTTATGACTAACCCTCACGGAACTATCACCTTTTGAATTATAAAATATCGCACCACTGTAACAATTAGAAACGGCAGTGTAATAAAAGTCCTTTGGAGTGTTAATGCATAAGAAGTAATAAAATAGGTGCCTAATTAAAAAAAGAAAAAAAGAACAAGTCTGGAATTTTAATTGTATGAACAATTGTTGTAATACACCATATTTTTAGAAATGATTTGAGAAAATTTTAAACATTTTGAAACCAAAAATCAAATAGTTTGAGTTAAATTGCTTGTTTGATTCGTTCCTCTCACCTATGTACTTTAAGACTCCTAAGACTTGAGTTAAAAATAATAACAGTCACTTTTGAAAACAACGTATGTTTTACTTATATTCTGTTTTTAGTGAATGGTATTTTGAATGCATTATTACTATAATATTTATGGAATAAAAATGATGTTTACATATCACAAAAATCGTCTAATTACAATAAAACAGATTTAATGATTCTGTGTATGTAAATATTTTTGTTTTATAAAATTTTAATTAATCGACGTAATTAAAACATCTTTTAGATGAACATTTTCTAATTCACTTTATTTAAAATGCTTTTCAACTTTTTTTTTCTTCATGTAAATGCATATTAAAAATGATTTGTGTATTTTATATGCCGAATTTTTATGACACAAGAACTAAATGGCTGTCACCGTAGAGACGTAGCTAACAGACTAAACTAATTATATTATAGTTAATTGAAAACTTCATTCGCTTCAAAAATATATAAATAAGAAATAACAGTCGACATGTTTCAAGCTCTAAAAAACAGGCGCCCATTTTCAAAACTTGCCAAACGTAAGTGAGAAGAAATGAAAGTTATTTAAAATATAAAATGTAAAATTGATATTAGAAAATGGGAAAATAAAGATGAAAAACAAAACTAGAAAAACCGCAGTAGACGAGAAAGAGAAGAAAGATGAAAAACAGAACAAGAAAAATCACAGTGGCTTAGATTGGCAAATCTGGGTAAATTGCATTTCCACGCGTGATGATGAAGAGATAGTGAGGAACTAATGTCGTTAACATGGGAATCAGCATTCGTATGAATAAAACAAGGTTCCAGGGTATCAAGATGAGCTGAGTTATGTTTTTTTTCACCTTTATTTTTCCATTTTCCGTTATCAACTTTGCATTTTATATTTAAATTCACGTTTGTTTCTTCTCATTCAAGTCTGGCATGTCTCGAAAACCAACGTCTGTTTCTGAGTGCTACAAACATGTCGACTGTTATTTCCTACTTACTTATTTTAAAGCGAATAAAGCTTTTAATCAAGTAGTACCTTACCGCTTCAGTTTCTTAGGATTATCTATTTAATAATCATATTATAATTTTAGTTGAGTTTTAGTTTTTATTTTAATTCTTTTTAGATCCATTTTGTTGCAACGAAAAAAAAGAAATTTTCCGTTTCGAATGTTAATTTTTAAGAGAGAGCGAGTGACAGAGAATTGCTGAAAAAGAGTTATCAAATTACATAGTAGCTTCGCACTTATTTTACTTTAGAAATTGAAAATTAAATCATAAATTAAACTGGAATGAAGAACATTAATTTTAAATTAATGCCGCTCATTTATGTGTCTTTTAAGATAAAAATGAATAATCTCTCATTCCGGAAAGAGCAAAAATTTCCACTAGTATCACATAATTATTCATTCCATCGATGCAATGCACGCGATGTAATGTCTTTTTAATTGCGCTTCCTCTCTTCTCTCCAACTTCTTCAACCATAAAAACTTATTTTCTCCTTTTTTTCTCCTTTTTTTTTTACAATTTCAAAAAATCGTGTATTTTTTATAACTGAATTTAAATTTTTCCATCATTTTGGAGAAAATTTATACATTTCTCGTTGCTTTAAGAGGAAATGAATTGCGGCATAAGGTTCCATATAAAGATGCTTTCTGCATTACTAATGAATAAATTTAAACATACTTTAGTATTAATAATTTAGAAACTAATAGTTTGTTTTGTTTGTGCAAGATAATAGTGGATAGACTAATAGTTTTAAGTCTTAAATGTGATCTCAAAATCAGATTTTTTCGCATTTAACACCGCCCTTAAACACAATATCTCTTGTTGTTTTTAAAATTACTATCTGCAATTTTTCATTAGTGTTTATGATTATAGCATACATGTTTTCAACTACAGACTAAAAGAAAAAAGTCGAATTTCATTTTTCTGCATGTTTTTTTAGCAAAAACAAGTGTGGAGTTTTTTAAAGATTTGCTTTTTTTTACTATTTTGATGTTTTATTCAGTAGTACATGCACTTGATTTTAAGATAATAGTTCAAACATAGTTTATAACCGTCTAAACCTTAAAGGATTTTCTGTTTTAAGCGATAGAAATTTTTTTACAGTGCTTAGCGTATATGCAAAAAATGCCTAATTTTTTATCTAAAATTGGTCATTTAAAAACAATAATAATATTTTTTTGTTGCTAGATTTATAAGTTTTACACATATTAAAACATCTATTATTAGTTTTTTTTTTAAATTTTATATTAATATTTAGAAGAAAAAATTTCGTAATTAGTCAGGTACCTTATTGTAAACAATAGCTAACCAGAGACAAAATTAAATGTTGAACTCACCTAAAACAAATCTTCAATTAATTAGAAATTACAGAATTAAATTGACGAAGTTGACTTTTCTAGTTGAATTATTAAAAACGAAAAGTTTACATTGTCAAACAAATAGCCTATTTTTCATTCATCTTCAAATAGCAGGGTGTCAGTTCAATATTTAGAAAAAACAATTTCGAAATTAGTTGGATACCTTATTATAAACAATAGCTAACCAGAGACAAAATTAAATGTTGAACTCACCTAAAACAAATCTTCAAGTAATTAGAAATTACAGAATTAAATTGACGGAGTTGACTTTTCTAGTTGAATTATTAAAAACGAAAAGCCTACATTGACAAACAAATAGCCTACTTTTCATTCATCTCCAAATAGCAGGGTGTCAGTTCACAACTATTTTCATGAGAATTTTGATAAATGGCGGCTGTAGTTTTCTTAAAAGTACTGTGCACTGTTTTTATCCCCTACTCGGTGCTGTTCGAATGTCTCCTATATATTTTGCGAACCATTTTATTCCTGTTACTTTGTTTATGATACTAAAACATAAAATTTGCAATTTTAATTTTTTTACAATTAATTAATTATTTAAGATTTGAAGCACATTATTTTTGACACATTTTTATCGGCAATGTTTATTTAAATAACATAACTATGATATTAATTTTTTTCATTTACGAACTAAGCGCAGTATTCACATATGACATTGGTTGTATACTTACATTTCACATCTTTGAGGAAACATTTAAAGCCTTAAAAATCTTTAATGTTAATTTTTTTAAAATTAAATTCTCAAAGTGCGGTTTAAATATAACTTTCCACACCTGTTTTCTTCGTTAAAAATGTTTAACTAATGTAATGTTCTTACTTTTATAATTAAATATTGATGTATTTATTTCTGTAATTTATATGATACCGCGAAACTTTATGAGTAAATAATAATAAATAAATCAATTTAAGTTCATATATGTGTGTGTTTCTTTCCTTTACGATATACTAGATGATAATGTATTAAATAGGTTTTTCATCTTTCTTTTGGATAGAAATGGGAAAAAAATGTTTTCGATTAAAATGGAATTCAGCTTTTTTTTATTATTTTTTTTAAATGTTCTTTCATTTTCATAAATTTATAAATTACTTTCCGTTTTTTCTCTCTTCCGTTCAGGAAAATCTGGTCTTTGTTCTTTCCATTTCATACTTCAGATATTCGTTGATTTA